ATAATTATTTGACTTCTTCATGTCTACTTTTCTATAATTGTTCTGCAAACCTGAACAAAGGACCCCACCACAAAGGGCCTGCTTCGATGCCATTTTATTGGACCTCAGAATCCCAAAGCCTCGTGCTCATCTTTAGATCACATGCCCCCAGTCATCATTGGTCCTGGAATGGCCCTCCTTCTCTATTGCCGTCTATATCGGTGCATTGCTTAATTATTGAGGAATACAGGCAAATCACAAATCAAGAAGAAAATGCATTAAGATCCCCAACCTCCAGCTAATACACTCCATGTGTCAAGCACAAAGCGTGTCAGGACAATCCCCACTGTTTCACATACGGAAAAATTACTCTAATGCCTCTACCAATGAAAGGTACACGAACATTGGCGAGTGTGTACTTCATCGGTGGCATTAAGGCTCGGCACTATGACAGAAAAAGACTTTTTAAAAACGGAAAGAACAACAAAGGCAATGATGTTGACTAGTACTTACAGTGGACCAAGGTATAAGCTAGATGCAAAGAGGGAGACAGTGACAACAGGAGAATAGGTCAATCCCCTTGGCAGAGTCCATTCTGAGGAGTACAGAGCAGAGAAGAGGATAAAAATGACACATTCTCTCCAGCAATCCTTGCTTTTCCACCTGTCATTGTGCTGGACCTCAGAGTTCCAGACACGAAATATTCATCATCCCAGACTCATACGCCGGCAGCTGTCATCATTGGTCCGTGAACGGCCCACCCCCTTCATGCTTATCTACGGTCTTTCCCGACTCATCCATCCATTCACCAATAACATTTCTAAACCACTGTGATTGAGGCTTTCGAACTGGGTCCCCTGATACCTGTACCCACCATGATGCTCAGATCACTACATAACTTTGATAGTAATAAAACTCTCACATTTGATACATGCGTTACTCAAGGACAAGATGCATCCGAACCCCACATCTGCACTGCTATCATTGGGACTTATCTGATGATTTTTCACACTTTTTAAAAGCAGAACCTCCCAAAACAGGACAAGATGTACGACTCTCACTCACATGGGACACTAGGCTGCTCAGAGAGATGCTCCGCAGAGTGCCTGGCCACGGAGAATTCCTACACCAGCTCAAATGGTCCATTGGGAGCAGCACAGAGAAGAGTAAAGGAAAAAATGGAAGACAATGATAACTAAGACATTCTCTGTTTTGACTCCTGAACTCATCACTGATTTTCTGCGTCATTTCCACAATCACTAACTCATTTCTATAATATCTCATATGGAAACTAATTCAAATTCCCACATCCCCAGAAAATAAAGATTGTGTATAACAGACAATCTCCAAAACATCACGGGCGAACGACAATCAGGTAATTGAATCATTTCTGGTTCAGATTTTGGTTTTGTTTTTGCTCTTAAAATCATTATTTTACTACTGTATATATTCTAGCTACGAACACTGTCAGCTTCTGTTCAGCCATAAAAGAGAATGACATGTCGTCACTTATAACAAAATGGGGGGAGGGGGGAGTAACGAGATTCTGATTTCTTTTCTCAATAAAGGAGTCAGGAATACAAAGAAAATCACCACTGATCACTCTGATGTGCAATAGGAAAGCAAGGCGTTCATGGAAGTTGAGAATGGAGGCTGGGGAAGGGAGGCAAGGGAGGAATGCAGTGAGCCTGATCGGTGCCTCTACGCGATGTTACATAGAAGGATGCAGCTGCGGTTGGGTTTGCGAAGCGCAGTGACTATAGATGTTGATCTTGAACCATTTATCTCCCACTGCTAAGAAAGGATGCAGAACCTTTGAGCAATGACAAGATGATAGTTGGTGAGGAGACATTTTTTAACCTTATGGAATTCGGATGAAATGTATACATACATTAAAACCCCACATGGCACTACATCGATTGTACATGCTTTGTTATGATGGATCTCCAAAAACAATAATGACATCTACCAACCTCCTCTTCATGCTACATTTAAGTTTGCCTTTCCCTTGCCTGTTGTTAAAAGCAGTACATTTTTCTAGTATTTAAAATATAGAAATAAATAACAAAGCCATTAAATTCGGTAACTATCGTTACTCAACTACCCAAGGGCATGGAAACTTGCGGGCTACTCCCATTGGTCTCCAAACAAACACCATGACACCATGTGGCCTGTCATTTACATCGTTCTCATTCCAATCAGACCCTCCATGATGAAGAGAGCGCAGCAGGGTAGGGAATGACATTCTCTCCAGAGACGGATTTTCTCAACTGTTCATTGGCGTACTATCTTACGCTTTCACTAACTCATGAGTGTTTGTTCTCGTTCTCGAGAACCTTCAAACTTACAAGCTAAGTAGAGCACTAATCGACTATCATCAGCAATAATCGACTAGTTTCCATCAACACCTTGGGTTTCCACAGTCTACACTGTGACGTGCTCAAGAAACAACAAATCTACTCAAATCTTAGCCTACACGAGAAAAATCTAATGCTGAGCCGCTGGGATGATGTCGATCTATAGGCCCAGCCTTTCGCAAGAAGAAGAATGAAAATCAAAAAGTGGTACCTGGTACCTACACTCTTACATATATTTTATTAATAGATGATTACTTAATTCATTCATGTGTACTGACTGTTAATTGTTGGCTAATCCTGCCCACGATTCCTTACTAGTAAATGTTTCTAAATACATGGATCTTCATGAAGATCAAACCAAGATCCTTGTAACATCAGGACGTGTGAATATAGGAAGCCACCAAAACAGGGCTTGTTTAGATTCCATTTGCGTGGGACCTCAGAATCTCGACTCCTCGTGCTCATTCTGCCTGAATCACTTGCCGCCCTGTCATCACTGGTCCAGGAATGGCCCTCTTTCTTATTCCAGCTACCCCAGTGCATTGATTAATTAAGTGAGCAAAGCAAATACACAGAGAAATACAGGAAAAATATGCACTGAGATTCCTGACAGTTTTTTACAGGTTCAGTTAGTCAACGACAAAACCTTGTCATTACAAACCCCATGTTTTCACACATGGAACAAACAAGAAGATGCCTCCATTGAAGTGATACTAAGTTTGGCACGATTCAACTTGCTCGCTATCAGAAATGCCCTTTGGTAATACAGAAGATCCCTTCAAAGAACCACAGAAGAGACAGAAGGTTGACTGTTACTTAGAGTAGACTAAGGTTCAATCCACATGGAAGAAGGAGGTAGTGATGAGGGAAGTACAGGTCAATCCCCTCCGGAGAGTCATTCTGAGGGGCACAGAGGAGGACACAGTACACAGAGGAGCACATGCACAATGTGTGAGCACAGATGAATTGGACTGAGGCGACATGTTGAACCTGATTTAAATTCTCTAAAATATGTATGTGTATGAAAACACCACATGACACTACATGGACTGGACACGCTTCGTTACTATGTATCAACGAACGACTAGACATCTATTGATTTCTTTAAAGATCCTTCACTTCATTTTGCGCTTACTATGCTCTTTAGTACTGAATAATTATTTGACTTCTTCATGTCTACTTTTCTATAATTGTTCTGCAAACCTGAACAAAGGACCCCACCACAAAGGGCCTGCTTCGATGCCATTTTATTGGACCTCAGAATCCCAAAGCCTCGTGCTCATCTTTAGATCACATGCCCCCAGTCATCATTGGTCCTGGAATGGCCCTCCTTCTCTATTGCCGTCTATATCGGTGCATTGCTTAATTATTGAGGAATACAGGCAAATCACAAATCAAGAAGAAAATGCATTAAGATCCCCAACCTCCAGCTAATACACTCCATGTGTCAAGCACAAAGCGTGTCAGGACAATCCCCACTGTTTCACATACGGAAAAATTACTCTAATGCCTCTACCAATGAAAGGTACACGAACATTGGCGAGTGTGTACTTCATCGGTGGCATTAAGGCTCGGCACTATGACAGAAAAAGACTTTTTAAAAACGGAAAGAACAACAAAGGCAATGATGTTGACTAGTACTTACAGTGGACCAAGGTATAAGCTAGATGCAAAGAGGGAGACAGTGACAACAGGAGAAAGGTCAATCCCCTTGGCAGAGTCCATTCTGAGGAGTACAGAGCAGAGAAGAGGATAAAAATGACACATTCTCTCCAGCAATCCTTGCTTTTCCACCTGTCATTGTGCTGGACCTCAGAGTTCCAGACACGAAATATTCATCATCCCAGACTCATACGCCGGCAGCTGTCATCATTGGTCCGTGAACGGCCCACCCCCTTCATGCTTATCTACGGTCTTTCCCGACTCATCCATCCATTCACCAATAACATTTCTAAACCACTGTGATTGAGGCTTTCGAACTGGGTCCCCTGATACCTGTACCCACCATGATGCTCAGATCACTACATAACTTTGATAGTAATAAAACTCTCACATTTGATACATGCGTTACTCAAGGACAAGATGCATCCGAACCCCACATCTGCACTGCTATCATTGGGACTTATCTGATGATTTTTCACACTTTTTAAAAGCAGAACCTCCCAAAACAGGACAAGATGTACGACTCTCACTCACATGGGACACTAGGCTGCTCAGAGAGATGCTCCGCAGAGTGCCTGGCCACGGAGAATTCCTACACCAGCTCAAATGGTCCATTGGGAGCAGCACAGAGAAGAGTAAAGGAAAAAATGGAAGACAATGATAACTAAGACATTCTCTGTTTTGACTCCTGAACTCATCACTGATTTTCTGCGTCATTTCCACAATCACTAACTCATTTCTATAATATCTCATATGGAAACTAATTCAAATTCCCACATCCCCAGAAAATAAAGATTGTGTATAACAGACAATCTCCAAAACATCACGGGCGAACGACAATCAGGTAATTGAATCATTTCTGGTTCAGATTTTGGTTTTGTTTTTGCTCTTAAAATCATTATTTTACTACTGTATATATTCTAGCTACGAACACTGTCAGCTTCTGTTCAGCCATAAAAGAGAATGACATGTCGTCACTTATAACAAAATGGGGGGGGGGGAGTAACGAGATTCTGATTTCTTTTCTCAATAAAGGAGTCAGGAATACAAAGAAAATCACCACTGATCACTCTGATGTGCAATAGGAAAGCAAGGCGTTCATGGAAGTTGAGAATGGAGGCTGGGGAAGGGAGGCAAGGGAGGAATGCAGTGAGCCTGATCGGTGCCTCTACGCGATGTTACATAGAAGGATGCAGCTGCGGTTGGGTTTGCGAAGCGCAGTGACTATAGATGTTGATCTTGAACCATTTATCTCCCACTGCTAAGAAAGGATGCAGAACCTTTGAGCAATGACAAGATGATAGTTGGTGAGGAGACATTTTTTAACCTTATGGAATTCGGATGAAATGTATACAGACATTAAAACCCCACATGGCACTACATCGATTGTACATGCTTTGTTATGATGGATCTCCAAAAACAATAATGACATCTACCAACCTCCTCTTCATGCTACATTTAAGTTTGCCTTTCCCTTGCCTGTTGTTAAAAGCAGTACATTTTTCTAGTATTTAAAATATAGAAATAAATAACAAAGCCATTAAATTCGGTAACTATCGTTACTCAACTACCCAAGGGCATGGAAACTTGCGGGCTACTCCCATTGGTCTCCAAACAAACACCATGACACCATGTGGCCTGTCATTTACATCGTTCTCATTCCAATCAGACCCTCCATGATGAAGAGAGCGCAGCAGGGTAGGGAATGACATTCTCTCCAGAGACGGATTTTCTCAACTGTTCATTGGCGTACTATCTTACGCTTTCACTAACTCATGAGTGTTTGTTCTCGTTCTCGAGAACCTTCAAACTTACAAGCTAAGTAGAGCACTAATCGACTATCATCAGCAATAATCGACTAGTTTCCATCAACACCTTGGGTTTCCACAGTCTACACTGTGACGTGCTCAAGAAACAACAAATCTACTCAAATCTTAGCCTACACGAGAAAAATCTAATGCTGAGCCGCTGGGATGATGTCGATCTATAGGCCCAGCCTTTCGCAAGAAGAAGAATGAAAATCAAAAAGTGGTACCTGGTACCTACACTCTTACATATATTTTATTAATAGATGATTACTTAATTCATTCATGTGTACTGACTGTTAATTGTTGGCTAATCCTGCCCACGATTCCTTACTAGTAAATGTTTCTAAATACATGGATCTTCATGAAGATCAAACCAAGATCCTTGTAACATCAGGACGTGTGAATATAGGAAGCCACCAAAACAGGGCTTGTTTAGATTCCATTTGCGTGGGACCTCAGAATCTCGACTCCTCGTGCTCATTCTGCCTGAATCACTTGCCGCCCTGTCATCACTGGTCCAGGAATGGCCCTCTTTCTTATTCCAGCTACCCCAGTGCATTGATTAATTAAGTGAGCAAAGCAAATACACAGAGAAATACAGGAAAAATATGCACTGAGATTCCTGACAGTTTTTTACAGGTTCAGTTAGTCAACGACAAAACCTTGTCATTACAAACCCCATGTTTTCACACATGGAACAAACAAGAAGATGCCTCCATTGAAGTGATACTAAGTTTGGCACGATTCAACTTGCTCGCTATCAGAAATGCCCTTTGGTAATACAGAAGATCCCTTCAAAGAACCACAGAAGAGACAGAAGGTTGACTGTTACTTAGAGTAGACTAAGGTTCAATCCACATGGAAGAAGGAGGTAGTGATGAGGGAAGTACAGGTCAATCCCCTCCGGAGAGTCATTCTGAGGGGCACAGAGGAGGACACAGTACACAGAGGAGCACATGCACAATGTGTGAGCACAGATGAATTGGACTGAGGCGACATGTTGAACCTGATTTAAATTCTCTAAAATATGTATGTGTATGAAAACACCACATGACACTACATGGACTGGACACGCTTCGTTACTATGTATCAACGAACGACTAGACATCTATTGATTTCTTTAAAGATCCTTCACTTCATTTTGCGCTTACTATGCTCTTTAGTACTGAATAATTATTTGACTTCTTCATGTCTACTTTTCTATAATTGTTCTGCAAACCTGAACAAAGGACCCCACCACAAAGGGCCTGCTTCGATGCCATTTTATTGGACCTCAGAATCCCAAAGCCTCGTGCTCATCTTTAGATCACATGCCCCCAGTCATCATTGGTCCTGGAATGGCCCTCCTTCTCTATTGCCGTCTATATCGGTGCATTGCTTAATTATTGAGGAATACAGGCAAATCACAAATCAAGAAGAAAATGCATTAAGATCCCCAACCTCCAGCTAATACACTCCATGTGTCAAGCACAAAGCGTGTCAGGACAATCCCCACTGTTTCACATACGGAAAAATTACTCTAATGCCTCTACCAATGAAAGGTACACGAACATTGGCGAGTGTGTACTTCATCGGTGGCATTAAGGCTCGGCACTATGACAGAAAAAGACTTTTTAAAAACGGAAAGAACAACAAAGGCAATGATGTTGACTAGTACTTACAGTGGACCAAGGTATAAGCTAGATGCAAAGAGGGAGACAGTGACAACAGGAGAAAGGTCAATCCCCTTGGCAGAGTCCATTCTGAGGAGTACAGAGCAGAGAAGAGGATAAAAATGACACATTCTCTCCAGCAATCCTTGCTTTTCCACCTGTCATTGTGCTGGACCTCAGAGTTCCAGACACGAAATATTCATCATCCCAGACTCATACGCCGGCAGCTGTCATCATTGGTCCGTGAACGGCCCACCCCCTTCATGCTTATCTACGGTCTTTCCCGACTCATCCATCCATTCACCAATAACATTTCTAAACCACTGTGATTGAGGCTTTCGAACTGGGTCCCCTGATACCTGTACCCACCATGATGCTCAGATCACTACATAACTTTGATAGTAATAAAACTCTCACATTTGATACATGCGTTACTCAAGGACAAGATGCATCCGAACCCCACATCTGCACTGCTATCATTGGGACTTATCTGATGATTTTTCACACTTTTTAAAAGCAGAACCTCCCAAAACAGGACAAGATGTACGACTCTCACTCACATGGGACACTAGGCTGCTCAGAGAGATGCTCCGCAGAGTGCCTGGCCACGGAGAATTCCTACACCAGCTCAAATGGTCCATTGGGAGCAGCACAGAGAAGAGTAAAGGAAAAAATGGAAGACAATGATAACTAAGACATTCTCTGTTTTGACTCCTGAACTCATCACTGATTTTCTGCGTCATTTCCACAATCACTAACTCATTTCTATAATATCTCATATGGAAACTAATTCAAATTCCCACATCCCCAGAAAATAAAGATTGTGTATAACAGACAATCTCCAAAACATCACGGGCGAACGACAATCAGGTAATTGAATCATTTCTGGTTCAGATTTTGGTTTTGTTTTTGCTCTTAAAATCATTATTTTACTACTGTATATATTCTAGCTACGAACACTGTCAGCTTCTGTTCAGCCATAAAAGAGAATGACATGTCGTCACTTATAACAAAATGGGGGGAGGGGGGAGTAACGAGATTCTGATTTCTTTTCTCAATAAAGGAGTCAGGAATACAAAGAAAATCACCACTGATCACTCTGATGTGCAATAGGAAAGCAAGGCGTTCATGGAAGTTGAGAATGGAGGCTGGGGAAGGGAGGCAAGGGAGGAATGCAGTGAGCCTGATCGGTGCCTCTACGCGATGTTACATAGAAGGATGCAGCTGCGGTTGGGTTTGCGAAGCGCAGTGACTATAGATGTTGATCTTGAACCATTTATCTCCCACTGCTAAGAAAGGATGCAGAACCTTTGAGCAATGACAAGATGATAGTTGGTGAGGAGACATTTTTTAACCTTATGGAATTCGGATGAAATGTATACATACATTAAAACCCCACATGGCACTACATCGATTGTACATGCTTTGTTATGATGGATCTCCAAAAACAATAATGACATCTACCAACCTCCTCTTCATGCTACATTTAAGTTTGCCTTTCCCTTGCCTGTTGTTAAAAGCAGTACATTTTTCTAGTATTTAAAATATAGAAATAAATAACAAAGCCATTAAATTCGGTAACTATCGTTACTCAACTACCCAAGGGCATGGAAACTTGCGGGCTACTCCCATTGGTCTCCAAACAAACACCATGACACCATGTGGCCTGTCATTTACATCGTTCTCATTCCAATCAGACCCTCCATGATGAAGAGAGCGCAGCAGGGTAGGGAATGACATTCTCTCCAGAGACGGATTTTCTCAACTGTTCATTGGCGTACTATCTTACGCTTTCACTAACTCATGAGTGTTTGTTCTCGTTCTCGAGAACCTTCAAACTTACAAGCTAAGTAGAGCACTAATCGACTATCATCAGCAATAATCGACTAGTTTCCATCAACACCTTGGGTTTCCACAGTCTACACTGTGACGTGCTCAAGAAACAACAAATCTACTCAAATCTTAGCCTACACGAGAAAAATCTAATGCTGAGCCGCTGGGATGATGTCGATCTATAGGCCCAGCCTTTCGCAAGAAGAAGAATGAAAATCAAAAAGTGGTACCTGGTACCTACACTCTTACATATATTTTATTAATAGATGATTACTTAATTCATTCATGTGTACTGACTGTTAATTGTTGGCTAATCCTGCCCACGATTCCTTACTAGTAAATGTTTCTAAATACATGGATCTTCATGAAGATCAAACCAAGATCCTTGTAACATCAGGACGTGTGAATATAGGAAGCCACCAAAACAGGGCTTGTTTAGATTCCATTTGCGTGGGACCTCAGAATCTCGACTCCTCGTGCTCATTCTGCCTGAATCACTTGCCGCCCTGTCATCACTGGTCCAGGAATGGCCCTCTTTCTTATTCCAGCTACCCCAGTGCATTGATTAATTAAGTGAGCAAAGCAAATACACAGAGAAATACAGGAAAAATATGCACTGAGATTCCTGACAGTTTTTTACAGGTTCAGTTAGTCAACGACAAAACCTTGTCATTACAAACCCCATGTTTTCACACATGGAACAAACAAGAAGATGCCTCCATTGAAGTGATACTAAGTTTGGCACGATTCAACTTGCTCGCTATCAGAAATGCCCTTTGGTAATACAGAAGATCCCTTCAAAGAACCACAGAAGAGACAGAAGGTTGACTGTTACTTAGAGTAGACTAAGGTTCAATCCACATGGAAGAAGGAGGTAGTGATGAGGGAAGTACAGGTCAATCCCCTCCGGAGAGTCATTCTGAGGGGCACAGAGGAGGACACAGTACACAGAGGAGCACATGCACAATGTGTGAGCACAGATGAATTGGACTGAGGCGACATGTTGAACCTGATTTAAATTCTCTAAAATATGTATGTGTATGAAAACACCACATGACACTACATGGACTGGACACGCTTCGTTACTATGTATCAACGAACGACTAGACATCTATTGATTTCTTTAAAGATCCTTCACTTCATTTTGCGCTTACTATGCTCTTTAGTACTGAATAATTATTTGACTTCTTCATGTCTACTTTTCTATAATTGTTCTGCAAACCTGAACAAAGGACCCCACCACAAAGGGCCTGCTTCGATGCCATTTTATTGGACCTCAGAATCCCAAAGCCTCGTGCTCATCTTTAGATCACATGCCCCCAGTCATCATTGGTCCTGGAATGGCCCTCCTTCTCTATTGCCGTCTATATCGGTGCATTGCTTAATTATTGAGGAATACAGGCAAATCACAAATCAAGAAGAAAATGCATTAAGATCCCCAACCTCCAGCTAATACACTCCATGTGTCAAGCACAAAGCGTGTCAGGACAATCCCCACTGTTTCACATACGGAAAAATTACTCTAATGCCTCTACCAATGAAAGGTACACGAACATTGGCGAGTGTGTACTTCATCGGTGGCATTAAGGCTCGGCACTATGACAGAAAAAGACTTTTTAAAAACGGAAAGAACAACAAAGGCAATGATGTTGACTAGTACTTACAGTGGACCAAGGTATAAGCTAGATGCAAAGAGGGAGACAGTGACAACAGGAGAAAGGTCAATCCCCTTGGCAGAGTCCATTCTGAGGAGTACAGAGCAGAGAAGAGGATAAAAATGACACATTCTCTCCAGCAATCCTTGCTTTTCCACCTGTCATTGTGCTGGACCTCAGAGTTCCAGACACGAAATATTCATCATCCCAGACTCATACGCCGGCAGCTGTCATCATTGGTCCGTGAACGGCCCACCCCCTTCATGCTTATCTACGGTCTTTCCCGACTCATCCATCCATTCACCAATAACATTTCTAAACCACTGTGATTGAGGCTTTCGAACTGGGTCCCCTGATACCTGTACCCACCATGATGCTCAGATCACTACATAACTTTGATAGTAATAAAACTCTCACATTTGATACATGCGTTACTCAAGGACAAGATGCATCCGAACCCCACATCTGCACTGCTATCATTGGGACTTATCTGATGATTTTTCACACTTTTTAAAAGCAGAACCTCCCAAAACAGGACAAGATGTACGACTCTCACTCACATGGGACACTAGGCTGCTCAGAGAGATGCTCCGCAGAGTGCCTGGCCACGGAGAATTCCTACACCAGCTCAAATGGTCCATTGGGAGCAGCACAGAGAAGAGTAAAGGAAAAAATGGAAGACAATGATAACTAAGACATTCTCTGTTTTGACTCCTGAACTCATCACTGATTTTCTGCGTCATTTCCACAATCACTAACTCATTTCTATAATATCTCATATGGAAACTAATTCAAATTCCCACATCCCCAGAAAATAAAGATTGTGTATAACAGACAATCTCCAAAACATCACGGGCGAACGACAATCAGGTAATTGAATCATTTCTGGTTCAGATTTTGGTTTTGTTTTTGCTCTTAAAATCATTATTTTACTACTGTATATATTCTAGCTACGAACACTGTCAGCTTCTGTTCAGCCATAAAAGAGAATGACATGTCGTCACTTATAACAAAATGGGGGGAGGGGGGAGTAACGAGATTCTGATTTCTTTTCTCAATAAAGGAGTCAGGAATACAAAGAAAATCACCACTGATCACTCTGATGTGCAATAGGAAAGCAAGGCGTTCATGGAAGTTGAGAATGGAGGCTGGGGAAGGGAGGCAAGGGAGGAATGCAGTGAGCCTGATCGGTGCCTCTACGCGATGTTACATAGAAGGATGCAGCTGCGGTTGGGTTTGCGAAGCGCAGTGACTATAGATGTTGATCTTGAACCATTTATCTCCCACTGCTAAGAAAGGATGCAGAACCTTTGAGCAATGACAAGATGATAGTTGGTGAGGAGACATTTTTTAACCTTATGGAATTCGGATGAAATGTATACAGACATTAAAACCCCACATGGCACTACATCGATTGTACATGCTTTGTTATGATGGATCTCCAAAAACAATAATGACATCTACCAACCTCCTCTTCATGCTACATTTAAGTTTGCCTTTCCCTTGCCTGTTGTTAAAAGCAGTACATTTTTCTAGTATTTAAAATATAGAAATAAATAACAAAGCCATTAAATTCGGTAACTATCGTTACTCAACTACCCAAGGGCATGGAAACTTGCGGGCTACTCCCATTGGTCTCCAAACAAACACCATGACACCATGTGGCCTGTCATTTACATCGTTCTCATTCCAATCAGACCCTCCATGATGAAGAGAGCGCAGCAGGGTAGGGAATGACATTCTCTCCAGAGACGGATTTTCTCAACTGTTCATTGGCGTACTATCTTACGCTTTCACTAACTCATGAGTGTTTGTTCTCGTTCTCGAGAACCTTCAAACTTACAAGCTAAGTAGAGCACTAATCGACTATCATCAGCAATAATCGACTAGTTTCCATCAACACCTTGGGTTTCCACAGTCTACACTGTGACGTGCTCAAGAAACAACAAATCTACTCAAATCTTAGCCTACACGAGAAAAATCTAATGCTGAGCCGCTGGGATGATGTCGATCTATAGGCCCAGCCTTTCGCAAGAAGAAGAATGAAAATCAAAAAGTGGTACCTGGTACCTACACTCTTACATATATTTTATTAATAGATGATTACTTAATTCATTCATGTGTACTGACTGTTAATTGTTGGCTAATCCTGCCCACGATTCCTTACTAGTAAATGTTTCTAAATACATGGATCTTCATGAAGATCAAACCAAGATCCTTGTAACATCAGGACGTGTGAATATAGGAAGCCACCAAAACAGGGCTTGTTTAGATTCCATTTGCGTGGGACCTCAGAATCTCGACTCCTCGTGCTCATTCTGCCTGAATCACTTGCCGCCCTGTCATCACTGGTCCAGGAATGGCCCTCTTTCTTATTCCAGCTACCCCAGTGCATTGATTAATTAAGTGAGCAAAGCAAATACACAGAGAAATACAGGAAAAATATGCACTGAGATTCCTGACAGTTTTTTACAGGTTCAGTTAGTCAACGACAAAACCTTGTCATTACAAACCCCATGTTTTCACACATGGAACAAACAAGAAGATGCCTCCATTGAAGTGATACTAAGTTTGGCACGATTCAACTTGCTCGCTATCAGAAATGCCCTTTGGTAATACAGAAGATCCCTTCAAAGAACCACAGAAGAGACAGAAGGTTGACTGTTACTTAGAGTAGACTAAGGTTCAATCCACATGGAAGAAGGAGGTAGTGATGAGGGAAGTACAGGTCAATCCCCTCCGGAGAGTCATTCTGAGGGGCACAGAGGAGGACACAGTACACAGAGGAGCACATGCACAATGTGTGAGCACAGATGAATTGGACTGAGGCGACATGTTGAACCTGATTTAAATTCTCTAAAATATGTATGTGTATGAAAACACCACATGACACTACATGGACTGGACACGCTTCGTTACTATGTATCAACGAACGACTAGACATCTATTGATTTCTTTAAAGATCCTTCACTTCATTTTGCGCTTACTATGCTCTTTAGTACTGAATAATTATTTGACTTCTTCATGTCTACTTTTCTATAATTGTTCTGCAAACCTGAACAAAGGACCCCACCACAAAGGGCCTGCTTCGATGCCATTTTATTGGACCTCAGAATCCCAAAGCCTCGTGCTCATCTTTAGATCACATGCCCCCAGTCATCATTGGTCCTGGAATGGCCCTCCTTCTCTATTGCCGTCTATATCGGTGCATTGCTTAATTATTGAGGAATACAGGCAAATCACAAATCAAGAAGAAAATGCATTAAGATCCCCAACCTCCAGCTAATACACTCCATGTGTCAAGCACAAAGCGTGTCAGGACAATCCCCACTGTTTCACATACGGAAAAATTACTCTAATGCCTCTACCAATGAAAGGTACACGAACATTGGCGAGTGTGTACTTCATCGGTGGCATTAAGGCTCGGCACTATGACAGAAAAAGACTTTTTAAAAACGGAAAGAACAACAAAGGCAATGATGTTGACTAGTACTTACAGTGGACCAAGGTATAAGCTAGATGCAAAGAGGGAGACAGTGACAACAGGAGAATAGGTCAATCCCCTTGGCAGAGTCCATTCTGAGGAGTACAGAGCAGAGAAGAGGATAAAAATGACACATTCTCTCCAGCAATCCTTGCTTTTCCACCTGTCATTGTGCTGGACCTCAGAGTTCCAGACACGAAATATTCATCATCCCAGACTCATACGCCGGCAGCTGTCATCATTGGTCCGTGAACGGCCCACCCCCTTCATGCTTATCTACGGTCTTTCCCGACTCATCCATCCATTCACCAATAACATTTCTAAACCACTGTGATTGAGGCTTTCGAACTGGGTCCCCTGATACCTGTACCCACCATGATGCTGATATCTGTACCAAGAATGATGCTCAGATTAGTAGATTAATTTTGATTGTTTGTTTATTTACATGTGCATACATTGTTTGGGTCATTTCTCCACCCTGTTATATATTTTATTTTACTGAAATTCTCACATTTTATACACGCATTACTCAAAGACAAGATGCATCTGAACCTCACATTTGCACTGGTATCACTGGGACTTATCTGATTATTTTTCACACTTTTTAAAAGCAGAACCTCCCAAAACAGGACAAGATGTATGATTCTCACTCATATGGGATGCTACGCTGCTTAGAGAGATGCTCCTCAGAGACCTGGCCAAGGATAAATCCACACTAGCTCCAGTAGTCCATTGGGTGAAGCAGATAGAAGATTAAAGGATAAATAAGAAGACAATGATAATAAGACATTCTCTGCTTTCACTCCTAAACTTAGCACTGATTTTCTGAGTGATTTCCATAATCATTAACTCATTACTATAATATCTCATCTCTTGTTGAAACTTATTCAATTTGCCATAGTCCCAGAATTGAAACATGGAGGATAACAGACAATCTCAGTAACATCCTCAGTCAAACGGCAATGAGCCATGAATACATTCCTTTTCATATGTGATTATTTAATTGATTTTGCTTTTGCATTCTTCATTTTACTTCTCTCTATATATTCTAGGTTTTAACACACTCTTTCAGGTTCTAATCAGCCATAAAAGAGAATGGCATGCTGTTATTTGTAAGAACATTTATGGAAAATGAGATTTATGTCAAGATTAGTAATCCAGATATAGAGAGATAAGCTGCACTGATCTCAATTAAGTGGACTATGAAAGCAATGTGCTCATGAATGCTCAGACTGGAAGCTGTGGAAGGTAGGAGTGGAAAGAGTGTGGAGTGGGAAGTAGATGACTGTTAAATTATGTTATATAGGAGTATGGAGTTGAGATTGGTTATTCAGACTGAAGTGAATAACAAACCTATAGGAGCCATTTATCTTAAAAAGCTCACTAGGATACAGAATGTTTGAAAATGGTGAAATAAGAGTTGTTTGAGTAGACATTTTTAACATGATTGAGATTTTATGTGGAAACGCCACACATCACAACATCGATTGTACATGTTTTGGTACTATTGATCAATTATAATGACAGATATCCATTGTTCACTTCTTAAGATCCTTCATTTAGCTTTGCCTTTCCCAAGTGCTGTAAAAAACAACAGGAAATTTTTCATTGTATTTTTGAAAGACAAATTATAATGAAATTTTAATAATCAATGAGTATCATTAAACAGTTCCCTAAGGAAGATACAAAATTTCGGTGCTACTCCCATTGGTCACCACAAAAACAGAATGACATCATGTGGACTGTCACTCAGCCTTCCCATTCTGTCCAGACCCACCATGATGAAGAGAGCACAGCAGGAGAGGGAATGTCATTCTCTCCAGTCACTGAGAATCTGTACACTAACACAGTATTTTAGGCTTTTATTAATTTATGACCATTTACTCATGTTCTTAATAAAATTCAAACTTACAATTGACCTACCATAATGATCTACTATTATCCATTAATATGAAGGGTTTCCTTAGTCTAAATTGTAACATGCTCAATAAACTACAAATCTACACCAATTTCTTAACCTATATTAAGAAATGTCTAATGCTAAGCTTGCTGTGGTGTACACACCTATAGGCCTACCATCTGGGCAAAAGAAGAAGGAAAATCTAAAGGAAGTATCTACTCCTTATACCCTTACTGCATATTTTAGTAATGGATAATTACTTAACATCTTTATATCTCATTATTTTATACTTCTTGTTATTAGTGCCCCCAAATCACTACTAGTAAATCTTTTTAAACGTGTGAATACAAAGATCCAAAAAAGGAACCTTGTATATGTGGACATGTGAATATAGGACCCCACAAAAAAGGGTCTGCTTAGATTTCATTTCCGCTGGACCTCAGAATCGCGACTCCCTGTGCTCATTGTGTCTGATTCACTTGCCGATCCGTCATCATTGGCCCAGGAATGATCCTATTTCCCTATTGCAATCTATACCAGTGTATTTATTATTTACTGAGGTAATCAAATATTTAGTGAAATACAAGAATAATATGCACTACGATCCCTGACATCCATCTATAGATGCAATTCGTCAACCACAAAACCTTGTCGTGCCATTCATCATGTTTTCATAAACATGAAAGCCTCTGCTAAAGTGATACTAACATGGGCATGTCTGGACTTATTCCAGGTTATAAATGCACTGTCGTAATACATAATACAGAATTTTTCTTAAAAATCGATTCAAAGTACAGGAATATTAACTATTACTCCAAAAGATCAAGGTACAATCCATATGCAAGCAAGGAGGTTGTGCTGATGGAAGGACAGGTCAATACCTTGAGAGAGTCGTTCTGAGGACTACAGAGCAGAAAAGAGTACAGGCAGAGCACATGGGAAATGTGTAAATAAGGACAACATGATAGTGGATGGAGGTGATATTTTTAACCTGATTTAAATTGTATAAAATATACACATATATGAAAACACCACATGGCACTACATGGATTGTGCAGATTTTGTTGCTATGTATTCATTGCCATAAAATTGATACATAAAATTGACAGTAAAGATACCTATTGATCTCTCTTTAATATCCTTACTTTAGTTCATTTAGTTGTGCCTTTTCCCACCTGCTATGAAACCATCAGTAGATTTTTCATTGTTTTGTAAAATACAAACTAATAAAATTGTAATAATCAGTGAATACCATTAATCAATTACCCAAGAAAGAAACAAATTTTGGGTGCTCTTCCCATTGGTCTCCATAGAAAACACAGTGACCTCATGTGGACTATCGTTCACAGTATTCCCATTCTGTTCTCCCTCCATGATGAAGAGAGCACAGCAGGAGAGGGAACGATGTTCTCTCAGTGACTGAGATTCTTTACTATTAACTACCATAGTATTTTAGACTTTTATTAACTTAAGGCTATTGATTCATGTTCTTAATAAACTTCAATCTTACAAGTGACCCAGAATAAGAATAAACTGTTAATGATCACTATATATATGGTTTCCTTAGTCTCAGTTGTAACAGGCTTAGTATGTTTCAATTTCTTAATATGTATTAAGAATGGTAATAGACCTAAATAGAACTTTTGCAGCACTACTCACTGCTGCCATTTTGAGGAACCAGCCTATGTTTCCACCAACAGATGATTGAATAAAGAAAATGTGGTAGATAAATGCAAGTGAGAACTATTCATCTAATAAAAATTAACTTATTTGAAAGTTAAATATATCTAAAAGGTATATATGATATACCTTTTATCATGTTTATAAATTGATCATGAGCCACACTGAGGTTAATAATAAAGGGATATGTGGACATGTGAATGTAGGACCCCACAAAACAGGGCTTGCTTTTGTGTTGGACCTCAGAATCATGACTCCAGTTGCTCATCATGTCTACTCACTTGCCACCCATCATCACTAGTCCTGGAATAGCCCTCTTTCTCTATTGCCATCTATACAGGTGCATTCATTAATTAATCAAGGAATACTAAGACAATACAAGAATATATGCACTGAGATCCCTAACAGCCATAAATAGATTCAATTTGTCAACCAAAAAACCTTGTTACTATAATCTCCATTGTTCCATATATGGAATAAACACCAATGCCTCTAATAATGTGATACAAACATTAACATGTTTGGATGTCTTCAGTGTTATTAATGCTCTGTAGCAATACAGAAAATACCTTTTAAAAACAACACCAACAACAACAAAGACAGGAATATTGACAGTTACTTACAATAGACCAAGGTTTAATCCAGATGCAAGCAAGGAGGTAGTCCCAATGGACAAATAGGTGAATCCCCTTAGGAGCGTCCATGCTGTGGAATACATATCAGAGAACAGGATAAAAATGACACATTCCTCCACCAATCCTTGCTTTTCCTCTCATCTTTTTATTGGATCTCAACATTTCAGACACATAGTATTCACCATCCAAGATGTATTCTTGGAATACATATCAGAGAACAGGATAAAAATGACACATTCCTCCACCAATCCTTGCTTTTCCTCTCATCTTTTTATTGGATCTCAACATTTCAGACACATAGTATTCACCATCCAAGATGTATTCACCATCCAAGATTCATACACTGGCAAGTTGTCCTTATTGGTCCAGGAAAGGCCCAACCCCTCTTCATTCTTATCTACTGTGTTTACTAACTGATGCATGTTTACTGACTAATGCACTAATTCACCAATAATTTTTCTAAAAGTTTGTGATTTAGGCTTTAGAATCCAACAAGAGACCAGCTAACTGAGATGTGTACCCAGAATGATGCTCATGCCTCTATAAAAATTTTATTAATAATTCTTAGATTTTATTTATGAATTACTCTGCATAAAGATGCATCTTAATCCAAAATTTGCACTGGTAACAGTGGACCTTATGGGATTATAATTCATGCCTTTTAATTCCCCTAAACAAACAGTAAGAACAAATATGACTCTCTCATTGGACTTAAGGCACCTCAGAGTGCCTGGAAAAGGAGAATTCTAAAATCAGCTCCAGTGTGTTCATTGAGAGTGGCAACGAGATCAGATAACAAAAACAAAGAAAAGCAAACCTATGATGTCTTCATCGACTCTAGGTTTCATCTTTGACTTATAAAGTCATTATAAGATCATTAAGTTAATGGTATAATTTCTTGTTTTGAAAACACGAAATTCAAAACTGACATAAATATTGGGTGTAATGTATGCTGTCTAAAACACCCTTAGCCATGAAAGGAAGAGTACAGGATTCAGTTCCAACTAGACCTCACTGTTTTCATGATATATTAATAGTGTTCCTTGACTCACCATATATGTTTGTAATTAAAAAATAATTCACTGATTGATGCTTTCACAGATCTAATTATAGTGAAAGAAGCAAAATATGAACGCAGGGTTCTGG